CGGGCCAAAAACGTGACTGTTAGGTTAACTGGCTTCTTTAAATTCTACTGTGAATGGTTGTCTCTGTGTTGCCCTGCGGTGGACTGGCAACCTGTCCAGGGTGGACCCCGCCTCTCGCCCATTAACAGCTGGAGATAGACACCAGCAACCCTCGCGACCCTAGCTGGGATAAAGCCTGTCAGAAAATGGATGCATAGATAGATGGATATATGTGCTTTCCATGTTTTCCCTTTTTGATCCATCTTTTACTAAAGCTGATCCCCCAATGTGAGAATGTCATTTCATTCCCTGAAACCAGAGGAGATTATTCCAACCACAGGAGCTCTTTCCCTTGGAAATCTTAGCTCCACCCGGCAGGGCGACCCAGCGGGCAACACCAGGCGCTCACAGAGCTGTGAAGCACATCAAGGCAGTCGGCTTCCACCAGCTCGGCCCGCAGCGCGTGCAAACAGAGGCTTTGTGGCAGCACATCACTGGATGCTCGGCTTTAAAGCCAAGCCGCCGCTGCCACTGTGAACCCCCTCACCCCACTACAGCAGGCGACGCTAGACCTTTTTGTTTGCTTTAATCTCACTCTCTTTCTTCTGCTCTGACACTTCCTGCTCTGCCTGCTGAGCCGAAGGGAGGAATCGGTTATTTCCAAGGGAATATATGGTGTCTAAGAGATTAAAGGTGGCATGATGAACAGAAAGAAAGGTCCAAAACCTAACTGATGACATTGTAAAAAAAAAACTCAAAGACATGATTTACAGCAAAAGAAGCCTCAAAAACCTAACATTTAGAGCCTGAAATGAATAAAAAGTGTAGCTTACAGTAAAGTGTGAAAATATAAGAGTAATACATCAGATCAGTCATTCAGAAGCTGCACTTTATATGGAATTCTAGCCAGAAAGGCTGACAATTTAAATTTAATCTCTGCAAAATGTGCACAAAAAAAAAAATTAAAAAAAACACATTCACCTCCTTTATTTTACTCGAAAGTCATTTGTTTTTTTGTTTTTGTTTTGTTTACATGATCAAATATCTGTTAAAAAAAGCTATTTTTCCAGAGGAAAATGTCTATGCCTCACCAATCAGGGCGCCAGTCGTTCAAGAGAGGAAAGAGCACTCACTTTTATGACCCTTTAAAGACCTGTGATAAAAATTTGCCTAAATATTAAAAAGCTAAAATCTCAGATTCATAGCTGCCAATAAATGAAATGACTATTAATCTTTCTTTCGGGGATTCTTGCTGTATTTGATTATATTCAGATTAAAATCTAAAATGCTTGGACAGCTTAAAGCTGAGCTACAGTGAAAAGTGAACAAAGATTCATTAAAATACTGTTTTATGAAACTTTAATTCTGCTCTGATACAGCAGATGTTAGGATAAATTTAATTGTAATAAATTCAAATATATTTATCTTAATAAAGTTTCCCATAGAACGTCCAGCTGTGGAATCTGAAAGGCTGAAACTTGAGCTTATTGGTCAAATAGTGAATCTAGTGAGACTGGAGCATTCCTGCACATTTGGTGGGTGTAATGCTGAGTACTGTCACACTGTGTGCAGACAGACACAAACTGCTGCACAAAGAGCTGAGCTGTGCAGACACAAAGCATGCATTATGTCCGCTCCAAGTGATGGACTGCATGCACCTGTGCATGTCTCTGGAAAGCAGAGAAGGGAAGTTCAGGTGTAAAGATGTTGATTGGTTGAATATTCCAGGGTAGAAACATGAATCCAGCCTCTGATGGAGGAGCTACAGCAGATCTATTGTTCTCCTTTATCACCTGGGGCATCACAAACTTTTACATTCCTGCTACAAAATGGTTTAATGTCAAAATTAGATTTATATTATTGAAAAAATAGATTAAATCGGGATTTTTGCTTTGACCCCAAACAATGGAGGGTTGTAAACATCAGTTTAGAGTGAGGCTTTGCTTTGGAGCAGCACAAAGACCCAGAGAGACAGAGATGCATCAAATTAAGCAGAACCTGAGCTGCAGGTCCTTTAAAGCCCAGCTGCAGACACAGAGGAGCATTTTAATCAGCTGTAAATAAAGGAGGAAAAACATCTGATTCTACCTTTCAGTTCAGGCTGCGGCTGTCAGTCCATCCAAGCGGCGCTCTGCTGCTCCTCTGACCGGGGACGATGCTCCTCTGACCGGGGACGATGCTCCGTCCTGCAGCCGCTGCAGCTTCGGCTGATCGGGGCTGAGACCTCAGCGGAGAACCGACTGTCTGACCGCAGATCAGCCTCACCGTCTGACCGCAGATCAGCCTCCCAGGAGCCGCTCTCTATTGTCCCCCAGCGGACCCGCCCACCGACTCTGAACAGCCAATCAGAATGCAGAGCGGCGGTGCGCTCCTCTGATAGCAGGACGCTTTAAACACCGATCAGGAATTTATTATTTCAACATGAAACTAGGATCAGGAGCTTCTTAACACAAGGAAATCCAATTTTACGAATATTCTTAAAACTTCAAATATTTACATTTTTTATTGACACATTTTATTATTTATTTAACTGAAGATTATTTGCCATGTCTTTAGAGCAGTGCACTTGTGCTCTGCGAAGGTTGCAAGAACCTGGTTTGTATGGAAGCAAATCGTTACCATATTTAAAATGAAAAAGCATTTTCAGAAATGCTTTTTCATTTTAAGAATGTGGCTTCATTGTTTGACTCATAAATTAAATTAGTAATCAATAATCCTGTTTGCATTTTCATTTTCTTCTTTAACACTCATCCTTTTACTTAATTAAAATGAAAAAGAAAAAGACATTTGAGATTTATTTTTCAAAATGTACCCCAGCAAATACATACCAAAATTCAAATTGAAATGTAAAATTTGGAAATGAAAAAGCATTTCCAGAAATGTCTTTCTTTCAGCAGTCTTAAAGAAGAAAGTTAAAATGCAAATATGATGATTGATTACTAATTTCATTTATGAGACAAATAATGCAGCCACATTCTTAAAATGAAAAAGCATTTCTGGAAATGCTTTTTTGTTTTAAATATGGTAACGATTTGCTTCCATAGGTTTGATCCCCACAAATATTCTTTAGGCATAATTAAAACCTTTAGGGAGATTAGTAAGGATTTGCTACAACTGGGTGATAGTAGTAGAAATGTCAGTAAAACATTTTTTATACAGTATTTTCCATGGGCGGTTCTAGACAGGGGCCAATGGGGGGTCAGTGCCGATGTAGATCAAGTCCTGGCCCCTGTTATGGCCCCTGCACTGAAGACATAATACTCAAAAAAATTCTTATGATGCACTGGAATAGACATGGTTACTGACAGGTCCTTTGGATCTATCTAATTTTTTTTCTTTACAAATTATGTTTTACTAATTATTTAACAACAATAAGGTGATAGCTTCAGTGGTATTGAGATAGGATCCCAGTTTTCATCTGCTAAATGATGTTTTTAAAACAAATAAAAAAAATGCAATAATTTTGACAGCTGAATTTATTGTCTTTTCTTATTTTCTTTATTTCTTATTCTGATTTTATAGACATTTTATAGGTCATTTTAACTTAAATTAAGTCAAAAACATGTACAATTCCTAAATTCTGAAAGTATATTGACCTAATAAAATATAATTTTAACTAAACCTAATTCAAAAGAAATTTTACTTCATGCAAATATATTTAAACCCCTTGTCCTGTTTTTTATTTCATGCTTTTCTGTGCCCCCCATGAAAACACGCTGGCCCCCTCCTGGCCCCGTGGTACATTTGGTCTAGAACCGCCACTGGCATTTTCAATCAATAACCTTTAATTAATTTATAAACCATATATACACCTCCAAGCAACCAAAGTAATACACAGGACCAAAAAAAAAAAAATAAATAAAAAATAAAATTTACAATAAAACAAAACCATAACACAGATGGATAAAACTATAAAAAAAAAAAAAAAAAAACCATAACACAGATGGATAAAACTATAAAAAAAAAAAAAAAACAACAAAAAAAACAAGTAAAGGAAAACAGATATACATTCATTTGCCAAGTTCAGAAATTGTGTCTTTTAAAGAGGTAATTTAAGGAATTATTCATCCATAGAGAGAAGCCAAATCTCTCTCTCTATGGAATCAAAAAGAGTTTTGACCTTAAACCTCCTCTGGGAACGCACTAGAGTAAAATCTATTATTGGCTGAAAACTCTGAAAACTGTTTTTGGTTGTTTCCAACTAAATGTAATCAATTTCCTTGTAGCACAAAACTAACACTGCTCATTACAGAATCATTAAAGTGGATTTCAAAGAGTTTGTTTCCCCTAAAGTCATTACTTTACAACACATGTAGTATTTTATGAGTTTTCATGCAAAGTGAACAAAAAAATAAAAAAATAAACACTTTGTCATAAACTATTCCCTTTCTAAGCTCCCCATAATGTGAATTGTTGCTTTCTTGAGAAAAAAAACACAAAACATGCTGCATTTGTTGCTATTTTTATTAAAAATAATGATATGTTGTCCATAGATGATAATTTTCTATATGGATGTATGAAAAGATTAGTGTTTTCCTGATCGATCCGTTTGTTTCCATTCGTCGTTAAAGTGATCTGATTTGTGAATGTTGTCGAGAAAAGGATGGGAAATAAAAATATGAGCACAAAGCAGAGCAAGCAGAATCCCCAGAGTCTCACTCTGGTAGAAAACAAATGTTTTTTTTGCTTTATTTAGAGCCTATTTTCAACACAGTGATCTCTGAATTGATTGTAGTCATGCAAAAAAACAACATTAGATGTGAAAATGTTGAGGACGGAAAACACTCTCAGAATGTGAACTGGTTTTGGATATACAGTATGTTTAAAGTTAAATGTCTGATACCTACACTTTGATTCTTTCGTACAACAGTTTATTTATGGAAGCAAAACAGGTTCATTTCTAAATATGACTAAACAATTACATTTTACAACAATTTTGTACCTGTGAGCAGGTAAACTTCTAAATCAAAATATGTCATTCCTAAACTTGTGAAAAGCGTGTTTTTGTTCTAAGATCCCAAAGCTTTAAGTAAGTTAATCCAGAGTTGCTTGTAGGCAAACTTTTCAGATGCCTACATTTACTTTTCCAATAGAGTTTAATGTCTCTGAATGCAGCATGGGGGCAAAAACAAAGCCCAGTATGTAAAAGATGGATGGATGGATGGATGGATGGATGGATGGATGGATGGATGGATGGATGGATGGATGGATGGATGGATGGATGAGGGATGATAGATGGATTGATGATGGATGGATGGATGTTTTTATAATCATCGTTTTAATTAATACGTTTTATTCTCTCTAATTATTCATGCTCATTTATATAATTATTTAATTACCGACCGCAGCAAGGTATGTTCCTCTGTTTGCTTTATGTTTCTTTATCCATGTACTTTAGTCTGAATTGTTTTGCTAATTAAATGTGTTGTATAAACAAACTCACCTTGCCTTTCTTTGTGCAGATCTTCTGCTATACAATTATTACAAAAACATCAGGAGTTTTCCAGTATCCTGGTGAGCCAAGGTTCTGATCCAGTCCAGAAATGTACTGTAACAACATCAATCTTCAAGAATACTCAGGAAACAAAATGAATGCAGCCTTCTGTGCATTTTTCTTTTTTTGTTCATTCAGTGTCAGTGTGGGTGCATATAGATACAAACCCTATAGAATGTGTAAATATCTTTATGCAATCATTCCTCTGGATCACAGAGAGCATAAAGGGCAGCAGCATCGACCAGCTCAGGATTGATTATTCTGCTACCGTCTTCACCTGCCGCCTGCCTCTGTAACCTGAACTCAGACCATCATTTTATTTCATGGCTCACTGACTCAGCGGCTGCGTCACCAAAAGCAGATTGCTATTCTGCAGGCAGACGAAGGAGTCTCGGACGAGACGGGGACGTAAAAGGAATGCTGATAACCAGCACATTGATTTGTGTTCTTTTGTGTTCGTCCATAGCAGCAGATTTCCTTCCAGGGGTAATTATGCGCATGTTTGTCTCAACTGTTTCAGACACAGTGGTCCTCATTCTGTCTGGGACAGGAACTGAAAAACCTGTTTATCCCTGCTTTTCTCCTGGGACACATGTCCTAGATCTAAGTAATTACAGGAGAACAGGTGTGAAAGGAGACACAGAGGGGGAGCAAGTGTAGTATTAAAGTACAAGAACAGTATTAAGTCTCATTTAGGTCATGAAATTATATTTTTTTAAAAACATCACTGAAGTACAAATGGGTGTAATTATAAATTGCTTTAAATTTTATATTTCATGCAAAAGGAATTAAGATCTGAAAGTGATCCAATAAAGACCTTGATTAGGTGTTTATAGTGTACAACAATAAAACAAATTATATTTTTTACATAAAAACAAGATTAAAGGTGAAATTTGCTGCTTTCAAATGATAATTATTCATCTCACACATATGGTATACTCACATAAAACCGGAGTTTTCTCCTCTGGAGCATACAGTTGTGAGTTTTAACAAAAATAAAAAGGTGAAGATCATCAGCTTAGAAAATTTACTTCTGCTGAACTTTCTGAGATGCTGACACAGGTGGCATCTGTCAGGATTTGGTTGTGGTGTGAGGACCCATATGCAGAGGCAGGGAGGCAGAGGTGAATTTCTTGTAGATTTAATGAAAAGGTCAACAGACAAATGAAGCAGGAATCCACAAATCCAAAAATAAATCCAACAAGAAAAAAGTTAAACCAACCAGAAAACATGGCGACATCAGGGGGGAAGAATATCACAAGGAGGAAGCTTGACGAGGAACCAGCACTGAGGAACTGAACAGAGGGTGAAACAAAGAGGACTAACGAGCAGATTGGGAGCAGGTGTGGACAGAGCAGGCAGGAAAAGAGCTAGAGAAAGAGGAGAACACAAGAGGGCAGCAGAGAGCAACAAATAAAAACCTGAAAACAACCAGAAAACACAACAAAATAAGAATTAAACCACTAAAACAAGAAAACATGGAGCAAAGTAAAACTAAGAACTATGACAGTATCAACAGATAACAATAGGTTAAACATATGGAGTAAGTTTTGTTCCATTATTGCTGCAAACAATATTTTGTGCAATAAAACAATACAGAAATAATGTTTGAAAAAGGTTTTGTGAATAACCTGTTTTATCAGACTTATTCTTTCCTTAAAAAAAAAAAACCTTTCCAAATGTTATTTTCCCATAAGATATTGTTTTATATTTTTTCAAAGTTCCATGTACGAACATGTTCTTTGCTTGCGACAATAATAAAACAAAATTCACTCCGTAAATATAGAGCATCTTATCTTTGTTTGGAAGAT